TCCAGGTAGAAAAAAGAGTGTGGGAAAACATGAAGAACAAAGAGAATGTTGGAGATCTCTGAGCATCTCTGATCATTAATGTCACTGGTGCAGGTTGTGAGACACATCTTCACAGTCATCAGCTGGGTTTTGGACATTTTTCTATGACCCTAGGCTGGCTGTGGGGTGTTTGGGAACCCAAGAACTGTGGGAGAAGAGGATATGTTTTCAGTATTGCTATTTTCAAAAGTTTTGTACCCAAATATATTTATTGAAGAAAATCAAGGAAACAAAAAGAAGAGGTAAGAAGAACAGATCTGGAGAAGATTCAAATTCACCTGCTATCCATACTGTTTGGATGTTCCTATAAGGTCCCTATAAAAAACTGAACTTTTCATTGAACCTTCTGATACAGGCTGAAATGACTGTGGAGAGTTAGAATGTTTCAGGTCTAGAGCCAAATTACAAATTTTCTTAGGCTATCCTTATTCCCTTTAACAGATATTCCTTGTCTACCCCTGTGTCTGTCCTAACATCCTTATGACTAACAGCTAAAACAATCTGAAATATATTAACAAAATCCAAGTTTCCTCAACAAAAGTCTAAGAATGTTTTCAGATGCCATCAGAAGCCTATAACTGAGGTTTCTCAAGTTTTTTGTAACTTAGTCTTCTTAATGTTTCCACCAGTATGTATTTAAAACTGTCTTGATTTGTGACTTCCTTTACTACAGAAACTTCATCTCACTGTTACCTCAGGAGAACATGGAACTTGGGGTGAAGTAAGTCTGTGTTCCCATCCATGGTCAATAATATTTGGTTCCAGAATATGCTAATTCTTAAATCTTTCGAGGTAAGAATTTTCTTTTTGACACTATAGTTTGCTTTTGATCACAAATATGTCAGTAAACATATTTGTACATTAGTTTTAGATTGTATGAGTTATCACTCATTATATGAATTTATCTGCTGAGATTAGCACATTATTGTAATATTCAGCACCAATGGATTAATAGAAAGGGATATGTAAACATAAAATTGTCTTAGATATAGATGATATGTATATTAAATATGCAAAAGGCATTTCAGTGGGAAACAATAGGAGTGTAAGTTTTATACTTAAACACTTTCGAAGCAGGCTCTGCTCTGTGGCTGTGGTTGTCTGAACATGACCTGCACAAGGTATAGCCAGTTAACATTCCAGCATAGAAAAGCGTGTCATGAGCTCCACCCCTAGGTGAGAAATTATTGACAGTTGCTGACTGTTAATGGGGGGTCAGTTGTCTTTAAGGGCATGAACCCTGGTAGTATGGTCACCCTACCAGGGGTCATGGTTAACTTAGCACTTGGCTTGTCCCAAGTCTGCTCACATCCTTTACTAAAAGAAAAAAAGCTTTTGAGTCTTTAATGTTTCATACATTTTTATAACATCTTCCTACTTAAGTCACCTTGATACTAGAAATCTATCTCCTTTAAAATTATCAGTCACCCCATATATATTTGGTGATCAGATGAACATCCATGAAGGATCCAATATTGGATGCCTTCTCTGTCAAACTATGATAGATGGTAATACATGCAATAGCATGTAAGACTGAAATTCACCCCAGAAACCTGATGTTGGATCTAGAGACTTATTTAAACCAATAAGCAAAGAAGCAGAATATGTTTCATTTTTAATACATTTTATTAATTCTCTGGCAATTTCATATATGCATACAATGTACCTTATCATATTCATTCTTCATTCCTCCCCTTAACCCTTCAGATTCAACCCTTGTCCACTACCACCTCCAAAATCTGTGTCCTTTCTTTTTCAATGTAAGACACCCAGTCCAATCTGTGCTTCCCATACACTCCTGATTAATTATTTTAAAGGAGATAGATTTCTAGTATCAAGGTGACATAAGTAGGAAGATGTTATAAAAATGTAGATTTCACGGATGTGAACAGACTTGGGACAAGCCAAGGGATACGTTAACCATGAATAGCAGTCTTCTATCCAAGACTGCAATGATGTCCTCAAATATATCGCTAGAGCAGAGTATATAGAATGGCAGCGCTCCATTCCAAATTATGCACGTCAGGGCCATAGACTCCCTCCTTCCCTTGACCAAGAATGCATTAAGCCTTCCTAGGATGACCTCTGACAACCAGAGGAAGCTTCAAAAATGAGCTGAGCTTGAATTCCTTCATGTTATTTTTGCATTAAGGAAATCTGTTGTGGTATAGTTTGAGAATAAAGAGAAAGCTTACCTTTCACTTTTAATGCAATTGTGGATAAAGAGGTCAATGTTGCCCCTCCTGGTCAGGTGCCTCCCACTTGATTTCTTGGCTATGTGAGGAGTGTATAAGTAGCATTGACTGCTAGAAAGGAGAGTTTGCTAGAATAGAGGACAGATCTGTTCACACTCACCAGACTGCTGAGAATTAATTTGAGAGGAGGACTGGAGTGAGTTGGAGGGAACTAATGGAGGAAGTACATGATCAATATACATTGCCAAAATGTATGAAACTTTAAAGACTCATAAACTTTTTTTCTTTTAGTAAACTTTATTCTAAAGAGCCTTCTGCCCCTCCCTTTGGCTATCAAAATACTGAAGCAATGGACCCCAAGAAATTGGAATTTCCCCAGGAATCTTATGCTGGGAGAAGGGAAAAGCATATGCCTGGTGCCATCCAGAGGAGGAACTTGTCTTTCAATTAGATATTTCACACAGTTCTTGTCAGATCACATTGCAGTAGATACTGGAGCATATACAATAGTGAGTCAATGATGGGCAGGACCACACCTTGAGGAGGACTGAACAGATATGTATGTCTCTTGCCTTGTATTTAAACCTTAACTTGTCCCAGGAATCTGAAGATGAAATTTGGGCGTGGAAGAGGAAAGAGAGATCACTGGATCTCTTTGTTCCCCTTTGCTTTGTGGCCACATTGAATAAATATCTTTTTTTAAATTGGCTTATTAAGGATGGATCACCAAATCTGTCTTATTGGGACTGTCAGAGCCCTGGTTGTGACATAAGGAATTCTTATGCTATCATCATTCCAAAACAACTACTTTCCATAATGTGAACTGTGACCCAATTTTCTTCAGTGGTATTTATATAGACTACTCTCAGAATTTAGATTCTGCTTATTCCAGTTCAAGGGGTGCTTTGATACCAGACCCTTAAAAGTGTTGTATTTCTAATGGATTTGAATGTGATAGTGACACAGCAGTATTGTCGCAATATGCCACTCAAGATCAAGTTCATCAAAGATAGCTAAGGAAATTACCAAAAATGATTAACATGACATGCATTATTTTCATATCTTGTGAAGTATAAAAGTAGCATCTATGACCTAGGTCTTGAAATATACTTTAATTTAGCATGCAGTCAGCTTCTGTGATGTCTGTCTTCCTCTTCAGAGTTTCCACATCACAGTAGCAATTATACACAAGAGTAAAATGCATATTTAAACAGTGCAAGCTAACCTGAGACGAGAGAAGAGGGTCATGGCTTTTCTTATTGCTTTCCAAAATATGACTACATAAATTTCTACCATTTGGTTCAGAATCATGGTTAATACAAGAGAAGATGATTCAGCATCTTAAATACAATAATTTCAATATAATGTTTAAAACGTTCTGGAAGCTTCCCTTTTTATCATCTCTCTTGATGAAAATATTTGCTGGGAAGTACATAGATTTATAGAATGGTAGCCACATCCTTGGAGGGCGCTCAGTGAGAGATCTGTGCTTCAGGACAAGGTTTAAAAACAGTGATTTTTTTATGTTTTCCTTACCCATAACATGCATGTGCAGTAATACAAAGCATCCAAATGATCTCAGTAAAAAGGCAAAAGTCTTTAGAGAGTTGGTCTCAAATTTATGAACAATTACAGAGGAAAATACAGAAACAGAATAAGAAAATTCCTTCACTATGTTCTCTGTTATACTAACACCGGGACATGTAGTTATATTCCAACCAATTTAAACTAACACTTATGTCCAGGAAAAATGACAGTGGGCCTCAATTCATTCACTTATTCAAAAGTTGAATCTGTGTTCCTGTTTATCTCTAGGAACTATCTTAGGGTCAAATTAAAAAAGCATGATTTGAGCCTTGCCCTCGTGAGCTAAATAAAGTATATTGTTTTAATAATTCCCCAAATATAACACATGAATGCACTTACTTAGAATATTGGAGAACCATAAATGTTATCATCTATATCTGATAACAAGTCAAAGTGTATTACCAATTCTACAAATAATCTACTCTTAAAATATGCAAAGATGGAGCTGGAGAGATGACTCAGTGGTTAAGAACACTGATTGTTCTTGCAGAAGACCTGGGTTCAAATCCCTACACCCTCATGGAAGCTAACAACTGTCCATAACTCCAGTTCCAGGGAATCTGACAGTCTCTTCTGTTCTCCACTGGCATTGCACCACACAGGTGCACTTACCTGCATGCAGGCATACATACATACACATAAAATAAAATAAAATATTTTAAAAATGTGCAAAGATATTGCATTTAAAGAAAGTGAAGATCAAAGATTAACAACTCTCCAACCAAGATGATTAGCACTGCCAGGCAAAGTGGAATACCAAAGAAAATAAAACCTGTGACTGTCTTCACAACACATTACTCCTGGTTAGTTCAGCACCATCTCCTCATTACGTCCCATAAACACAAACCAGCAGCCAAGGTTCTACTCAGTGGTTTCTTTTTATTTTCTTGTTTTAATGCCAGAAATTGATTTAGGGAAAGCTAAGGTAGTTTTTTCCAAGTATAGGTAAAATAAAAAGACAAAGAACAGTAGGTTCACTACTCATATATAGAAGATAGCTGTGTCAATGCAATGTTGAGAAGCTGGTTCTCTCTAGGATGAGCTGAAGTTTAATGTGATCAAATAGTATATGTTTACGTCTCAAAGAATTGCATATGTTAATATATTAAGTCAAATATCATTTTTGTTTTATTATAGAGAACTCAAAACAATAATATGCACAAAAAGATCTTTACCTACCATTGATCCACCGAGCTTCTGGATTATGAAGTGAAAATTCTTTCCCCAAAAGCTCTTCTAAGGACAGTCTAGTTTCAGAAGAATTTGTGAGCTCATCTAAAAATAAGAGAGATCCAAAGTCAGACACTTCTGGCATTAGTTTTTCTCAGAAGAATGAGATATAAAATGTAGAATACTTTCATTCAAAATATATATAAAGTAAACATTAATATAAAGTGAGCATGTAAAACAGATTTTGTCATTGAAACTTTGTTTCATGATCTTTTATGTTATTATGTTTTTCAAGACAGGAACTTGCTACATGGTCCAGACTAGCCCTGAACTCAAGATCCTCCTGCTTCTACCTCCCAAGCTTGGGGTTGCAGGCACTACCACACCCAACCTTAACTTTTAAAATTAAATCATACAATTTTAGTATTAAATTGCTTTAGTCTGGCAATAATTTCATAGATCAAACCCAAGATATATAGTGTTATACAATAGAAAAATTCAAGAACTCCTGATTTACACTGTTCAATAAGACTAGATTTTGCTGTTTAATCATTATCCATCCCTCAGTTTTCAAACTCACTTAAACATACAATCCTTAATGCCAAAATATTATTCTGTAAAAAATAAATATGAGAGGGTTGAGAGACCTTAACACACAGGGAAAAAACATCATTCCAACTCAAAAGGCATTTCAAATAAATACAATGAATATCAAATTCCACCAAATACCTATCACCCAACAAACTCCAAGTGAATTTAGACTTAAATGTCAAATTTAAAATGCTACACTGAAAATCAAATAGTGTATCTTGGCCACTGGAAGATGTACATTATTTGAGTCTCTTTTTACAGTCCCGAATCTAGAAATGGAGGACAATGACTTGAGTTGCAAAACTAGACATTCCAAGTATCCCTTCACATGTAAGAGGCCACGGGGAGCAAAATAATAGCATTGTCTATTTGCTGAGAAAATTCTTTTTGGTGACCTTTTAGCTCTGACCTTCCCACTGATGGAAAACAAAATGTCAACGATAGATACTAATCTCATTTGATTTTATTTTTTAAAAATTCAGCACTTAACTGTACCAAGAACTTTGTTTGTCTTTGCCACAGCTTCTAGAACAAAGACTCACTAATTTCAAACATAATTCCCTTTCTTGTGAATCAATTAAACATAATAACTCCGAAGAAATAACTGAAAAAATATGTGAAGATTATTTGATTCCCACTTTTGCACAAAATGTGATTATATGCAAATTTGACAAAATATGTTATGCAAAGATATATAGCTGATTATTTGTCTAGCAATCAGAAAGATCAAAATTTAAACTTTCTTAGGTCTGGTGAGATGGCTCAGTGGTTAGGAATGCTTAATACTCTTCCAGAGGACCTAAGTGCATTTCCCAGCACCCACAACCAGGTAGCTCACAACCACCTACAACTGCAGCTCTAAGGGATCAAACACCATCTCCTAGCCTCTGTGGACACCTGAAAACATATGGTGAACATTGACTCCAACAGGCATACAGACATGTACATAAATAAAGCTAACTGAAAAGATTCAATCTTTCTAACAAAATATTTAAAAAACAAGAATTTGTGAAAATCAGAAACATGTCTATGAATAATTCAGAGGGACTTACATGTACAAAACGAAGTGTATGACAGAAGAGAATACGGATACAGAGTGCTAACTAATTTTGAAATGGAAGAGAATATCTTCACAAGAGGTCTAAGACCTCAGGTAATAATAAAATCACCAACACACTGCTACTGTCAGCAAGAATACAAACCTTAGAGAGACTTTGATAGATGCTTTGGAGGTTTCTTACAAAACTCAACTAGTTTATTTTCTGCAGCTCTGGGGACTGAACCCAGAGCCTCACACATCATAGTCAAATGTTACATCCCTGAGTAAGTTTTACCTACCTTGTGTACTGTATCTTTTATGGAGGTGTATATGTATATACATATATGCACATCAATGCACAACTATATATGTGCATGTGTAAACTTATAAGGAAAGTGTACCACACTAAATAATCTCATATATAATTATTTAAACATTAAGAATTTTCAAATATGTCTTCTTATATTTGAGAAGAGACCATACTGGAAATCTCAACTGGGAATCTTATTAATACAGATGTGTGTGTGTGTGTGTGTGTGTGTGCATGCGTGCATGTGTGTGTGTGTAATCTCTCTAAAATTCATCTATCTATCATCTATATATCTATTTTAATCATCATCATCTACATATAGCATCTATCATTTAAATATATGTCTGTCATCTGTTATCTATCTACCTGTGTAAGTATGTATGTATGTATGTATGTATGTATGTATGTATCATCTATGTATCTATGTATCTATGTATCTATGTATCTATCTATCTATCTATCATCTGTCACCTACTGTCTATCTATCATCTATCTACTATCTATCTATCATCTATCTATCTATCTATCATTTATCATCTATCTATGTATCATCTGTCATTTATCTACCATCTACCTATCTATCTATCATCTTTCTATCATTCTATTCATCTGTCTATCTGCACACACAAACACACACACACAAAATGTATGTGGAAAATCCTTCTTTGATATCTCATACAGATTACTTACCTTACCTACTAGAGTTAGAGTTAATGTTTGATATTATTGTGAACATAATATTTCCCATTGTAAGTGGTTATTATATGTAAGGTTACTGATTATATTATATATCATATCACACTTCCTTAAAATTGTATATATATATGAATTCTCAAAAATAAAAAAATATTAGCAAAAAATATAATTGCTCCCTCTCCTCTTTTCTATCTCCTCCTCCCCCTTCTCCTCCTCCTCTACCTCCTCCTCCTCCTTCCTGAGTTCTTCTTGTGCTTTTTCAGTCTCACAATGTAGCCTTGACTGGCCTGGAGCTTGTTATGTTGACCAGGCTGGCCTGGAAATCACAGAGCTTTTTGGGTGCTAGTGTTAATGGTGTGCCCCACCACACACAGCAAGTGATATGTTTTAGTATAATTTCAACAATATCATATTAAATATTTTTTCTCTTTAGTCTTTCCAAAAGTTTAAGCAATTTAGTGCATGCTGTAGGCTTTATTGTCTGGTAATTGTAGAGCCACATGCGATTTGAGTAAGGACAATTAGACACAGTTCGTGCACACACTTCAGTCAGCTTCTCTTCCTGGCAAATATCATTTTTCTGAACGAAAACACAGTAAGATTCTTTTCCTCTTGTTAATTTCACCGAGTTCACATGTATTCATTTGTGTGTTTGGTTCTATGCATTTGATGATGGGAGTAGAACCAGTCAAGATACAGAGAGAGCATCACCATGGTCTCCTATTCCCATGTACGTAGCCTCTATTGTTAATACCACCCACCTGCAACCCTATACAGTTATACCAAGAGCATTAGGTCATCCTTGGAAAGAAAAGCAAGTCATGCTTTTTTTCTTGTGTTTTTATATATGTGAAAATGGAAATGAAACTGAAATTGTGCAGGGGATCAATGGGGTCTCACGGGAGAGGAAGGGAGAGAAATGGGAGCTACGTTGAGGGGAGAAATGTACTTATATGAAAATGTACGCATGAAATTTAGTACCATGTACAAGGAAAATATGCCAAATCAAAATACTGATAAAAATTTTAAATGTATACTCACAGTAACGGTTTGCAACTGTGATCATCATATAGCACTGTTAAATTATAAATATTTATTTATTTATATTTTTGTATATAGTTATGTTACATTTGTGTGCAATATATGTGCACATGCATGCACAGGGGCCAGAGGAGGACATCGGGTCTCCTGATCTATCACTGTTGATGGCTTATTGAACCTGAAGCTAGGCTGGTGGCCAGAAATCCTCAGCAATTGTTCTGTCTCAGCCTTCCACAGCACTGTGGTAACAGGCACATGGTTCCTCACATGTTTTTTATGTAGGTTCTAGGGATGAACAAAGGTCTTCTTGTATCAAGTGCCCAAACATGGCTCAAGTTACCCATTGAGCCATCTCCCCCCAACCCCAAACATAACATTTTCATATAAATTGTTTCCTTAGGAAAATTTTCTGGAGAATCATCAAGGTCGTTGAGTCTATAATACTATATTTATTTTGATGATTCAATAATATCATAGAGTATGAGTGTCATACAATTTATGTAAGCATTTATTCACTGAAAGTCAGTTACCTTTTATTTTTCTAGTTTTGAGCAAACATGAGCAATGTTGCCATGGATATTTGTCCACATGTTTTTTTGCAAACATAAACTTTCCTTCCTCTGGAATTAATGCCTACAATGCAGTCCCAATATTAAATGTTAAGCACATATTTAATTTATTTTAAAAAGAAGGTACACTATTTTATAGTCTCATCAGCAGTGGACAATTGATCTACTTTCTCTGAAACCTTCACAGCATTTGATGCCAGCTTTGCTTTTTGTTTTAGCTACTGTGGTGTATATGTAGCAACATCTGACAGTGAGTTTGTTCTTGTTTCTCTAATTGCAATTACACTAAATATTTTAATATTTAATTTACTCCTGATTTACACATACTCTTCACTGAACATTGGTCTGCCCATGTCATCTGTCTTCGTTTCTGGTTGGACTGACTTTGTCAAAGTATTTAACTACTGAATTTGAAGGGTTGTTCACTTTTCTACATATAAATCTCTGTCAGGGGCATGAATTTCAAACATATCTTTTCAATGTTAATTTTTCTGAGTTCTTTGTATATTCTAGACATTAATTCTCTATCAGTTGTATAGAGCACAAAGATTTTCTGTCTCCCATTTTGTAAGCTGCCTCTGTTCGTGGGTATAGCCATTTGGTAGGTTTCCTACACTGAGGTGCATGACCCCACAGGCATAAGCATACAGGCCATTGTAAATGAACTCAGTATGTTATTATAAAAAAAAGGACATGAAAGTGGGAAGGTCACCAGCAGTGTGGATCTAGGTGTTGGAGGGGAGGAAGTGGGTTTTCAAAAGGATCAAAATTCATTGTATACAGTATGAAATTTTCAAAGAATAAAAATATTAAAAATCCAAAGTACACACACACACACAGAGAGAGAGAGAGAGAGAGA